TGTCTTCACTCTGTCTCTTGTTTCCATTTTTGTTTCTGATTTCAGTTTCTGGCCTACTACAACTAACCTCGACCTCTTGTTCACCTTTCTCCTTTTCTTTCAAAGACAATTTACAAATCGCATCAATGATGGCAGGATCCAATTCAGCAGGGTCAACCTGCAGGACCATGTCGACTTTACCAGGATTTGGGGAAAGCACGTCGTCATTATCTGGATTTTGGGAAGCATAGAAATTTGGACGCTGTCCTCCTGACCTGAAATAATTCTGCGACAAGCTCAAGTGTTATAACATCCTGAAACTGTTACTAGTCCACATTCACTTTGCACAGATTTGAATACAAGGTACAAAAGGAAAGAATTGTCATTGACATCTAAAAACATAATTGTAATAACTGTATAAAGAAGCAATAAGCGATTGTCATGAAACACTATACAATTGTCGGGAAGACGCATCCAATAATAAATTAACTAACTAGTTACTATAAGTTGATCAAAACAGATGACTTACCTTCCCAAACAATATGAACAAATATGTTCAAGACCTAATGATATTATAGTTGTCTAAAAGTTAAAAGGTTTTAGCTTATTTATTCAATTATGCATGCTAACCAGATAACCAACTCAGAAACCCAATTATCAAAACTGAGATACAACTTAATACCAAATATATGACGTAAAACAAAATCTAGACATGAAGATCAAACTTCTGCAGTAAAAACCATACATTCATAAGCAAATACTGAAGGAAAAAGAAGAGAGATATACCTGATTGTTTTTCCTGTTTTTCCTGTTTTTCCTTCCTGTTTTTCCTTCTCCAGCTTCAGGCCTCACTGGATAATGCTGGCTTCTGCTTCTTTCTTCACCAATCTTCATCACCTCACGGCCATTGTCATTCTTATTTTCTCCTCCTCCTCCTCCTTCCGTCTCTTCGCTCTGTGTCTTCTGGTTTCCATTTTCGTTTTCTTTTGCAGTTTGGGGCCCGCTACAAGTATTCCTCTCGGCCACTACTTCATCTTCCTCCCTTAATTTCAAATACAATTTACGAATCGCACCAATGATGGCAGGATCCCATTCGGCAGGCTCGAGCTGCATCTGTTGGAGGACGGCGGGGTCGACTTTGCGAAGCTCGTCTAGGAGGGTCGGGTGGATTTTCCGAAGGCCATCAAGGAGGGCAGGGTCGATTTTCCGAAGCTCATCAAGGACGTCTGGGTCGAATTTTCGAATCTTATCAAGCAGGGCAGGGTCGAGTTCCCGAATTTTATAAAGGAGGGCATCGAGTTTCCGAATCTCTTCAAGGATGGCAAGATCGAGATCAGAGAGTTCAGCATTTGGCGGAACGTCCGGATTTGGGAGGCCGATGGGAGCTGTCAACATCACTGCTGATCGTGTTTTTGATGAAGGAAGCTGGGTTGCTGGGTTCGCTTACACCCTGCAGTGCCAGTCACATATCATCACTCATCTGATCACCACGGCATTGAATTCGATTTTGATTCCCTTCCCTTTAGTTTTGGCTTGTGGAATTTGGGCCAGTGTTTTTATTGGTAAAATCAAAGTCATCTGCTTTTTCCTTTTCTCTTTTTGGGTATCAAAGCTGCTTTCGCTTTTGAACGTGAACTTTTCTTCGTCGCGAAGAAAAACTCACGACAGAAAACATTGTGGACTTGAACCTTCACCTTCAGTCACAAACACCAACCTCCTTTATGTGTTATTTGTTTGACTTGCTTAATTTCATTGACCTATTACCAACAAAAATTCAGACTCCATTTACCAAGCCCAAAACCAAAGTATGATATCCTTCTTAGTAAGTTTTTTTTTTTTAATTTAAAAAAAAAAAAAAATCACTAATACCAAATTTTTATTTAAACCTAGATACTCGCGAAGTTATCCATTCCATCAAGTTCTCACATCTGAAACTGAGAGGCCTGTGGCAGCTGGGATAAAAAGTTTGATACATTTCCAAGACTGAATAACATAAAAGGAGTTGCATGTCCGAATCCTGTGCTCTAGCATCCATTTCAATTTTCATGCAAAACTTACTACAGAGGCTGCGACTGATTGTAGCATCAGTTCTACTTCTACTTCCAGATGTTCCCTGCCCCATTTGTAGTCACCGCGTCGCAGAAGGGAAGTTGATAACGACGGATGGTCAAATTTACAAGCTGGCCCAGAATTGCAAATGCCATAGGTACTGTATTGTCTGCAAATGTTCTAGCCCTGGATTTGAAACAAATTTGGTATTAAAAAAAAAATTGTGATCAACGACATGCACTAATAAAGCGTAATATGTGATCAAAGATAGGCTCTCATAGTTAGTCAAGAATCTTTATGTTCAATACAAAGGACTGCCAATGAACATTTTCGTGGTGCACATTGCTAATTTATCCAAGGGAAGCTAAAAAATTGCAAAATTTTGAACTTCCCAATTATTCCATTACTTAAAAAAACACAATTCAAAGAAGAGTGAACTTACTGGTCTCAAAGGGAGGCCTTTGTCACTCAGTGCACATGAGGGGAACAATGCAGTCTGATTTTTTGGATGATGATATTTGCAATTGGATATAAACTTACAATCCCCTGTTCTTGAGAAGTAGATGCAAACAGGCTGCCCAGGTTGTTCTGGGAGTTGTTCAACTTGCTTCTGCTGTGGATGTTGTTCATAGGCTTTAGTTTCAGTTACCGAGTAGTTCATAACATATGGTGGAAGGGCAGGCATGCTTCTTTCTGGAAGATATTCTAAAGCCTAAACATGGCACAACCAAAAAAAAAAATTGAAATGAAAACCATGCATGCGAAAATGCAAAAGAGATGCCCATGGCAGTTGAATATGGCAAATGTCATAGCTACGGTATTGTGTGCAAATGCTCTGACGCAGGGATTTAAAACAAAATTTGTGTGATCAATGGCATTGAATAATGAAGCGTAATATGTGATCAAACACAGGCTCTCAGAGTCATAGTTAGTCAAGAATCTTTCTGCTGAAAGAGAGTGAAGAAAAAAAATACATGTCCACAACTTTCACTACAATCTCTTCCCAAGGTCAAATTTGTGTCAGCAATGAACATTTTCGTGGCACATTGCTGATTTATCCAAAGGAACATAACAACTTGCAAAATTTTGAATTGTCCAATTATTCCGTGTTAAAAAAAATAAAAAAATTTGCGCAACAGGTACTTGTTAGATCATATTCCATAATTATGCATTCACTTTAAAAAGCCTAGATCGTTCTGGGAGTTCTTCAACTTGCTTCTGCTGTGGGTGTTGTTCATAGGAATTGGTCTCAGTGACTGAGTGATTCATAACAAAGGGTGGAGGTGCAGACATGCTTTTTTCTGTTAGATATTCTGGAGCCTAAACATAGCACAACCAAAAAAAATAAAAATTGAAGGGAAAAGCATGCATGCGAAAATGCAATAGAGATGCTAATGGAAGTTGAGTATTGTGAATGACATAGCTATGGTATTGTGTGCAAATGTTCTGACACTGGTATTTGAAACAAAGTTAGTACAAAATTTGTGTGATAAATGGCATGATATAATTAAGTGTAATACGTGATCAGGCTCTCATAGTCAAGAATCTTCATGTCGAAAGAGACATGTCCGTTTTCTTCACCAAAAAAATTTAAAAAAAGAGACATGTCGACAACTTTCACTACAATCTCTTCCCAGGGTTAAATTTGTATTAGTAATGAATACTTTCGTGGCACGGGTAAATTACTCAAATGGTCCTCAAATTTGCACGCAATTTATATTTTGGTTCCTCAATTAAATTATTAGTCCAAATTGTGCATAAACTCTATTTTAGTCGCCCGTTTGATCCAACTGTTAGGTTCTGTCAATGTTGCCGTCAAATTTAAGGGTAAAACCGTCCAAACCGTGTAGAATAGCCAACTCTTGAAGCGACAAAGGCACCATTCGAGGAATCCACCTTCTTCCTCAATGAAGGCTGTAATGTCTGAAAGTTCAACAGATTCAACTCGATCCAATCAGTATTGCTTTTGTGGGATGAAGATTAAACGGCGCATTTCATGGACAGATCTGAACCCGAGAAGAAGGTTTGAGGCATGCGACCAAAATCGGGTAAGATAGAGTAATGGTTTTGTTATGTTTAAGTGAAGAATTGAATGGTGTGCTGGGCTCTGATTGATTGTGTGTAACAAATGATATGAAGAATAGCCAAACAAGACATCATTTCTTTGAATGGCTGGATAATGAAACATGTCCAAGAGGAAAGGAAGTGCTTCCTGGATTGCTTAGAAGACTCAGAGGTATGGAGGAAGAAATTAGAGCAAGAGATGAGCAACTGAGATTAATGGAAGCAGAGAAGAAAAAATTGGAAGAGAAAGTGGGTGTTGTTATTGAAGGAAAAAAGGAATTGGAATGGATTAGGCAGAGACAATTGAAATTGGGGTTTGCTTTGATCCTTTCATGGTGTTTGTTTGTAATTTTGGTGATGAGTAGAAAGATTTAGCTATGAATGTTAGGTATGTAATGGCCTTTTAGGTTTGTAATGGGATTATAGGTATGAATGTAATGTGGTGTTTGTTAGCTATGAAATAGTTTGTGGAGTATTTTAGGTAAACAAATTCCATAACCAAAAACCACACCAATTCCATAACCAAAAACCTTCCATAACCAAAACCAATTCCATAACAAAAAACCAATTGCATAACCAAAAACCAATCCCATAGCCAAAACCCAATTCCATAACCAAATTGCACAGCATAAACCAATTCCATTACCAATATGTAGAGTTAACTCTAATCCACAAGTTGTGATTCCATAAAATTACATCCCAAATTACAGAACCTAAACCAAAAGGTAGAGTGTAACTCTAATCCAAAGGATGTGAATCCACAAAATACCATCCCAAAAGCTGTGATCCTATTGTTTGTACTGTAAGCCAAAATGCAGGGCCTTTACATAACCAAAATGCATATCCTGAACAAAATTCACATCCCAAATTACACAAAATATATATGATCCCCCCTGCCTTGTGAATGATTATGGTTGTGATAGAACTTCTGTAGTCCTTTTGAAAGTTCCTCCTCTAATAGTAGTCCTTTTGAATGTTCCTCCTCTAATAGCAGCCCATTTGAATGTGCCCCTTTTAATAGCTGGAAGTTTGAATATGGAACCAGGTTGGGCAGTGACAGAAGTTGAAGATGGATTTGAGCTCTCTTGTGTAGGTGCAGCTGACTGTGACAATGGTATATTTGCCCTTCCTCTTGCCAAACCTCTGATCACAGTTCTTGGCAAACCTCTTCCCACACCCCTTGCCAACTAAAGAAAGAGGACCAATATAAGTTCTGAATTATATTGCAAAAAAGTAAGTGAGCATATTGAAAAATAAACCCTGAACAACATACACTTTGTTGTGAAGAAGTAGTAACTTCAGTTGCAACAGCTGGAGCTTCATTGGCTCTTCCTGTTCCTCTAGCCACTCTTCTCATATCTCTTAGCATACTTCTTGGCCAACCTCTTATACCTCTTGCCACCTAAACAAAGAGGACCAATATAAATTTGCAACTAAATTGCAGATTTGTGAGATAGCATATTTGAAGGAAAATACCCCAAAAAACGTGCACTTTGTTGTGAAGAAGTAGCAACTTCTTTTGCAACAGCTGGAGCCTCATTGGCTATTCCTCTTCTTCATCCTCTGCCCCTCACTCTAACTGCCCCTCCCTTAGTGTGGACCTCTTTTTGGGCAGAAGATGCATTTGCCTGCAAGAGCACAAGGAATTATTACTTCCAAAATATGTAACAACTCTAAATTTGCATAATAAATAATTACATGTTGATTTTCTGAGCTCTGTTTGTCACAAGTTGCGCTATTATGGCCACTTTGCCCACATCTCCTACACATGTGATCTTATTAAAAAGTCTTCTAAGCTTGTCTCTTGGTTGAACATAATTTGGAGGCATTGGATGTGGTGGGGGTGGTGGTGGTACCAGAATTTCAGCAGGCTCTTTGGACCTATTTTTTTGGGCCTTCCTAGATGTACCCTAACATTTGGGGGTTGTATTGGAGGATGCCCATATTTAGCCCACTGAAACATTGAAGGGATGGGGTGAATCATTGGTTCATATGACTTCATATAAGTTGCAGGCTTATAACATTCATCCACATAATCAATGAGGCTTTCATCCCTTTGAAAAATTGCAGAAATTGCATGGCCAACATGGTACCCACATAAATCCCACCTCCGACAAGAACATGTCCTTGCCCTAAGATCCATAACAAATTCTCCACCATACATGTGGGTCACTTGATATGTTTGCAAGCCAGCCAGTCGAGGAATGCATGTGGAGGCATCTAACTTGTTCTTCTCAATTATCTTGAAGATTCTTGGCCCAACTGGATGTTTCCATTTCGGACATGCAACCCTTCTATTTGACATCCTAAGCATCATAAGGACTTTTATCCTCTCCAAGCAAGTCAAAAAGGACTGATCTCTTACATCTATTATTGCTGAATTGAAACTTTCACAAAGATTGTTCAACAACAGATCACACTTAAACCGTGTATTAAAGTGAGATCTGCTCCAATTCTTTGCAAGTCTCTGACTGAGCCATTTCCCCGCTTCTTCATCCTCTTGTTTCATATTTTCCATTTTTGCTTCCCACCAAGGCATAGTTGTGGCTCTTGCTGCAGCCCACAATAGGTGTTTTAGAGCAAGACCAGAGTGTGATTATCTGAAGTTATTATATAAGTGTCTAACATACATCATGCGCTTTGCAGTTGGAAGTAGAGTCTCAATCGCAAGTATAAGTCTCTTTTGCTTGTCACTAATGAACATATATGACAAATCATTTGTAATCTTTAGATCTTGAATCAACAACCTAAGAAACCGGATCCACAATTGTTTGCTTTCAATCTCAACAACTGCATAAGCAATTGGGAAATTGCCATTGTTGCCATCCACCCCAACTGCTATCAAAATCTGGCCAGGATAAGGACCTTTTACGTTGCACCCATCAACACCAATAACTGGTCTGCATCCATCTAAAAACTCTTGCCTGCAACCAGCGAAGCAAACATACATCCTTAGAAAGATAGCTTGGCCCCCCACTTGTTCAGTTTTAATTACAACTGTACTTCCCTTGTTTGCCTTCTTAAATTCCTCTGCATAATCTCTTAACCTAGCATATTGTTCTATGTAACTCCCTTCAATTATTACTTTGGCATATTTTTTGGCCCTGTATATTTGATGTCTTGTGACAATCATACAATAATCCTCCAAAACATCCTCTTGCAATGATTTCACATCCAAGTTTGTGTCTCTCTTCAGCTACTTAGAATACCTATTGCAAAGCCACTTGGATGAGGCATACTTCAACTTGTCGATCCTCCCACAAGTGTGTTTTAGGCTCATAGTTTTGATTACAAATGTAGATTCACTCTTATCTATCTTTGAAGCATATAAATAAAATGGATATTTCAGTCCTCCCATACATACTACCTGGAGCCTCACTTTGTCATTTTTTTTTTGAATTTTAGCAACTTGCCATTTATAATTGCATACTCCTTCACAGCTTCTTTCAATACCTTTTTGTTTGCAAATTGCATTCCCATCCTAAACTCTGGATTCCTTAAATCAACCTCTCTCTTGTACTCCTTCAACTTTGGCAATTTTTTTTTCTTTCTTTTGCCTTTTTCCTCACCATTACCCTAATCCTGATCTTCTTCATCACTTTCTGTCTCCAAATCTGATGTGTTAGCACCATCTGATGATATCTTTCCTGAAGCTTCATAAGTAGGCCCAACTTTCTCATGTTCATGGGGCTGAACAGTAGGCCCATCATTCTCACATTCATTGGGCTCACCACTGAGGCCCCTAACTACCACATTATCAGCTACAAGCACCTCATCCTCTTGTTCACTGAATTCATAATCACTATCCACAAATTCTGCATCATTTTCCTCATTTTCCCCTTCATTTCCAACCTCTCCATTCTCAGTTACCGCAGCCTCATTTTCCCCTTCATTTCCAACTTCTACATCTGCATCTGCATCCCCTGGTTCACTGAATGCGTGCCATGTGACACCCTTCCCATCATTTTCTACATTTGCATCATAGTTATATTCTGCACTATCCAAACTAGGCCATGCAGCAGATGCTTGACTCCCAAGCCTATGACTATTTGAATTTTCCAAATCTGTATAGTACAAGACAAGAACCCTATTACATGGCATGCATCCAACCATTTCAACTACTTTAGCATCAGAGGTAATAAGCTCCAATATGTTACCATCCTTTTCTCCAGCCTTCATATACCTAATCTCCATAGTTTACTCAATTTTTGAAACATCTATTCTATACCCCAACTCTTGCCCTATCTTCCTTAAATCCAGCAATGACAGAAAGTCATCAACAACATTATCTAAATAACAGACCTTGCCACCTTTATAAACCTCATTTTCAAACATGGTGTAGTTCAAAAGTGACTCTGTCAGAGATAGCTGCAAAAAGTACACATCAAATTTCAGAGTTAGCTGCACACACATCTCCTTTATCTAATGCTACAGGTTTAGGGTTTTAATTTTTTTTTTTTTTTACAGTTTCACACAATGCTAATAGTGAATTAAGTGTGAAGTAGACAACAAAGTGTTGGCGTGAGTCAACGTTCCTATTAGGAATAGAATTTCTATTTTATTGCAATTATCTAATTTGAGTAGAATTAGGAGATTTTGTACATATTTCCTATTTGTAACCACTCTGTATGTAGTATATATATTCCTCATTGAGAGAAGAATAAATATATCAGTTTTAAACCCTAATTATTTTGAGTTGGTATCAGAGCGGGTTCCGATCCGTCTCTACAACGTCAAAATCCTAATCCTAAACATACCTATTTCCGCTGCACCTAGCCTATACACCTAAGCCTGTGTCGTCATATATCTCTTACTGTCGTTGTCGTCACCTAATCTTTTGTTGCTGCCACTATCTATTACCATGTCAGATGTCATTGACTCTTCTTCTTCTACTCCTATTGTGACGGTTCATATCGAATCGTCCACCAACCTACCTGTGGGATTCAAATTGAATGGATCCAACTATGAGATATGGGCTTCGATGATCGAACTCCATGCTATTACACAAGGCAAATTGGGTTACCTGACTGGCGACACTAATGCCCCTGATTTTAAAGACCCGAAATTTGGGAAGTGAAAAATTGATGATGCTGTTGTAAAAAGTTGGATGTTGCGAACTATGGAACCCAGTTTGTTGAATATGTTTCATACGCTACCTACTGCTAAGGAAATTTGGGATGCTGTTAATCAGATGTTTTATGATGGCTCTGACATATCCCAACTCTATGAACTACGGTGCCAGGCTACCCGTCTCAAGCAAGAGGGTCCTCCTGTCTCTACCTATTTTGCCGAACTTAAGGCAATCTGGCTTGAATTGGACAAGAGACGTCCTTTTCAGATGAAGTGTGTTGATGATATGAAGACTTTTCATGCTGCTGTTATGGCAGATCGTGTGTATGATTTTTTGGTTGGCCTTGATGATACCTATGACAAGGTCCGCAGTGATATTCTACGAAGTGATAAAGTTCCAAGTATTGAAAATGTATTTTTAATGGTTCGTCGAGAGGCTCAACGTCAGATTACTATGCTTGGATCCGGTACCTGTTTGCCCGTTTTGCGTTCACTCCTGTGATGGAAGGGCAAAGTTCCCCACTGCCTTGAGAACCATAAACTGGTCGACAAGTCAGCTTTCTTTGGTGTGCGAGCGTGCCACTGCTAGCAATAAAAATTCTAGCAGACTTAGTTTGGAGTAGATAACTTGCGCCCCAAGTTACTGATTTCTGCAAACAAACGATTGTGAATTTGGGTGAGGAATATCTCCCAAGTAAGTTCTTTTCTCGCCTCAGACTGGTGAGGACTTTAACAATTTATCTCAGTATAAAAAGGCTGTTCTGGCCAGAATGGTTGATGGAATTTAAACTGTTTCAGGCAGAACTGATGGAATTTAAACTGTTTTTTAGGCAGAACTGCCTTTTACAAAACTATAACAATAAATACTCATGCTAGAGAGATGAAGATACAATTGGAACTCCATTTCTGCCTGGATGGGAGGCTCTGGTCTGGGCTGGACTGGAAATGTCCGGGCTGGACTGGAACGGTCCGGTCTGGACTGGAAATGTCCGGGCTGGACTGGAACGGTCCGGTCTGGACTGGAAATGTCCGGGCTGGACTGGAACGGTCCGGTCTGGACTGGAAATGTCCGGGCTGGACTGGAACGGTCCGGTCTGGACTGGAAATGTCCGGGCTGGACTGGAATGTTGACAACTCTGATTGCTAAGCTTCAACTATAAATCGATACCAAAGGTTGATTCTGGCAGAGCTTCAATGTACTTTAAGCTTTTGTGAAGCTTCTGAGTGGGCAGAACTGCGGCTTCTTGGGCAGAAGTGGCTGTTCTCGAGGACTTCAGTGGGCTAGAGACTGCACTGTGAAATTTGAATGACTTATTTTCTAAGTCTGAACCTTGGGAATTCTAATCTAAAGCTGGTTTTCACTTGGAATTCAAGTGAGCTTCTGGTTGAGTTGTTTGTTTGTGTCTTGGCTCAATGAGCTTTGGTTGCTTCAGTGTTTTGAAGTCATTTTGAGTTTTTGTTTTTGATTGATTTTTTGGTTTTTTGAGTGTCCTCTACCCTGTCCACTCCTCCTTGTATTTATAGAAAAACTGTTTCTTCTCTGGAGTAGGGTGATTGTGTTTTTTATTGGGCGGCAAAGATATTTTCCCCC